CATATAAAATTATTGAAAGTTAGTAAAAATTAACGAATTGAGTTATGATCTGTTATTAACCTGTTTTGACCTAAATAAATTTGGATTGAATTGGGGCTTGACCTATTCTAATCCGCCCAATTTAAAAAATTTGAGTTATGTTTAAATATACATAAATAAAACTTCAAAAGTTCTTTAATTTTAAGATATAATAATGATCATAATTAAACATTAATTTTTAAATAAAATAAAAACCTATTAAAAAAATATAAAATAAAATTCTTATAATCAAACGGATCGCTAAAAAACTCAAGACTAATCGTGACTGCTACCAAACCTGAGGACCCATAAATCAGACATCTCTTGGCTGATTAAGTGAAATATAACAATCACATATTAGCACGTGTTAGTAAGATTTAGGTTGTACTATACAAATTATAGTTTACTAATTATTTTGAATTTTGCAGTACAAAGAACTAATATCAAAGTACTTGCATGAATTCAAACATCAAAATTTGACTTAATAATAAGTAGTATTTTTTTTTTATAGTGAGACAAAAAGTCTGTCCTAATAGTGAATAAATTAAGCCATACGGAAGACTATAAGCTTGTTTAGATGGTTGTTACTTATTTGTATTGTTAATTTGAATAAAGAATAGTATTTTATTATTATTTAAACTTATTGTATTTAAATGGTTAAATTCATGATTATATAACAAAAAGGGTCTATTTAATTTATATATAAAATGATCTTGATGTATGTGCATAGCTATCTTCTCTTTCAAAAATGATTATAATGTACTAATTTATCTTGATTGGCTTTTTGTTCAAGGGTATGTTAAAAACCATCGTCTTTTCTTTGTTTGTATCACCGAGACACCCGAAGGGCCGGCCATATGTACCTCGGGCCGGGCGAAGGGGAAGGAAGGGATGGGTGGTCCGGGAACAACAATGAGAGAGGGAGAATGGGCACAGCCCCACTAGCAGCCCGCGTTTCCGACCCGAAAGGAATTGAAAATCGAGAAAGCCCTTCGTTCGGACAGAGTGCAAGACACGTCTCTTTTTGAGAAAAGGCACCCCGTTTGTTGATTATGCCCTTCTTGGAGTCAAACTAAATAATATTAATAACATTGTTGTTTTTTGAATATACTATTACACTCGTTTGACAATTTCCCTTTAATCAACCTTGATGACTATTCTCATCCATATCAATGAAAAAACTTCAACCATATCTATATTTAATTGTTAGCCATACCCATTCAACACCAAAACTTACATAGCTAAACATCTAAAAACTCAAGGGAGGAGTCACCAACAAGCAACTCATCATGGAAGGTTAATACATCCCACTTCTCAGGTAAAATCACCCTAATTTTTTTTTGTTTGATTCTTAAAATATAAATTTATAAGTTGTATGATATAAACGGGGACAAATCACAAAGATTGTATATGCTACAACAAAAGAGAAACTTATTAGTGTTCATCGTTTTTCCGTTTAGGGTAATATTTATTGTCACAAAAAGATTTAGCGGTGGGTGATTAGTTAATGTCATTGCATCTAGAGGGTTGGTTATGAATAAATATATTTATTATTGCCAGTATATTGTGGAAAATTAAAATTAATTTTTTGGAGGTACAAAATATATCTTAGATATGTTGTACAGCATAGAAATATCTAGATTTTTTTGTTACATAGTTAGAGATTCAGGAAATCTAAATATTTCTTGTAGATGTATCCAAAATAATTTCTAGAAACATCCCTATACAAATATAAATAGGGGTGATATTAGACATTTGTATACAACCCAAAGACAACTCAAAGAAAAGAAATCTTCTTTCACAAACAAGTTCCCATTTCTAGTTTCATGTTCTTAAGTTGAATCTTTCTATTTTAGTTAACATCTTCGGCTAACAAAAGGTATTCCCGATTATATTTTCTTCTGCTATTCTCTACAGATATAAATTATTTTTTTGTTGTAGTGAATGTGGCGCCTTATGAGATCTTGTTTTACGAGTTATGATTGACTCAATTGATAAGATTGATGTAAGAATTAAGGAATAGTTTTCACAATTATAGGAATTTCATATTTACGAGGAAAAAAAGTACAACTTAAGAAATTCAAATTAAATGTCTAAACAATATTTTAGACTTTAAAACAATCTGATTTCAAATCATGTCAAAACAGACCTAACAAGGTGTTTGACCGTTGAATTTGGAACCTCTAGATCAACTTTTGATTTAAAATCAATGTTTGTTCATGAAATTTGCACAAAATTCCAAATCTTAATTTCACCAAAATACGATATCCAAATTGTGATTTCAATTTTATTCTAAATATAAAGCTCAGACTCGTAAGTTTATGAAATCGTGCACTCATCATTTTAATATTGCAGACAAAAAAAATAAGTTTAACTTGTAAAGATTGTCCATATTGTGTGAAAAGAATACTTATATTAAATAATAGCTAGTTGACTAGTAAATCTTTATAAAATTAAATATATTTGACCACAAACATTTACTTACCAAAAAAGTATAAATATATGCAGTTTATTAATGAGGGTCTTACAATATCCTGATACCTTGTTTATTAACTATCATTTGCTCTTTAGGTAATAATTGTAACTTCGAATCAACATGATTTGAAGTCACTTGCCATATTAAAGTTTAAATGGTCAAGATTAGCATAATCTAATAAGTTTTCTTACCAAATCTAATTTGTGGAACTCTTAGGTGATTGAAATCTATGGCCTCCAAGGTATCCATCATTTCAACATGGACTGTTAAAGCTGCTGGAACAAGTCAGCACCATACAGATAACTGTGAGATTATTGAGTTGACACCATGGGACATTCTTGCACTTCAAATTGACTATGCGCAAAGTGGACTCCTCTACCCCATGCCTACTGGGGAACAAGTAAGAGATGTATCAAAATCAACAAATACTACTACATTAATTGATCATCTTAGGGTTTCACTATCCCGAGCTTTAGATTTCTACCCTCCATTCTGTGGCCGCCTTGAGGCAATCACAGAACAGAGTGGAACTACTTCTTTCGTCATTAATTGTAACAACGCTGGCGTTCTATTCAGCCATGCCATAGCTGGTGGTGTTACAATACGCGACATCATTGAATCAAATTGCGTTCCTCATGTGGTTCGTGATTTTTTCTCATTGAATGGTGTACAAAACCAAGAGGCTACCTCCCAATTACCCTGTTTGGCTGTGCAAGTAACAGAGCTTGTGGATGGCATATTCATTGGCTGCACGAACAATCACGTGGTTGTCGACGGAACTTCTTTTTGGAATTTTTACAATTCTTGGGCTGAGTTATCTCGCGGTTCTAAAATCATCTCAAAAATCCCCTTTTTGAAACGTGAATTCCCTTTCAAAATTGATGGTTTCTACCCTAATCGTATTTCTATACCCAATGAAAGAATCAATTCAGGTGATAAATTCATTCCACCAGCACTACAAATGCTGCGAGAAAAGGTATTTCACTTCACCAAAGAAAATATCTACAAGTTAAAAGCAAAGGCCAATCATGAAATGAACACCACAAAGATTTCTTCTCTTCAAGCTGTGTTGGCTCACGTTTGGCGATCTGTGATACGTTGTCGTCGTCTCGATCACAACGAAGAAACTACTTTTGAGGTATCCATCAACATGAGGGAGAAAGTGAATCCTCCATTACCAGAAGGGTACTTTGGGAATGCAATTTACCCTGTTACCGTAACGATCAAAACGGGACAACTGCTGGAGCACGGATTTGGATGGGCTGCTTTGCAAATTAATGAGTCGATTGCTTCCCATGACCATGAAAAGTTGAAGTGCATATACGAGAATTGGATGAAGGACCCTGAGATACAAAAATTGGATGAATTGCCTAGCAATTACTTCATGCTGCATAACTCTCCGCGATTCAATTTTTTTAAGTATGATTTTGGTTGGGGAAAGCCAATTGCACATAGAAGTGGTGAGGGAAACATGTTAGATGGGAAAATAACAGTGTCACCTGGAGTAGAAGAAGGGAGCATGATCGTTGAAATTTGCCTTTCTTCAGAGACAATACAAGCATTGGAGGAAGACATAATATTTGGGGAGTTTGTGAACACTACACCAATGGTTGCTGTGGAACCAACGATTCGAGCTCGTATTTAACAGCTTTTTATGTTTTATTTTAATGCATGAATAAGGAGAAACTATTTGAGAAGCTACATTGTTTAAATAAGCCAAGCATCTGTATCTGTTTATCTTGGTGTCTCAGGGCTGCTTGTATTTGAGAAGCTACATTGTTTTCAAAGTTGGTACCATCTTTTGGGGCAAAATATTTGCTTATTTTTGCATCATATGTTTTATTAATCTCTATATAAACTTAGCTATTAATGAGTTGCCAATAGCTACACAATCTACTTGCAAAGAGTCTTAGAATTAAAAAGTGGAAAAAAAATAAGTTTAATAAGTGACATTCCATATTGAATATGTTTTCTCCTCCCACTATCGAACCCAAAGCTATGGCTTCCAAGGTATCCATTGACATGAGGGAAAAATTGAATCCTCCTTTACCTGAAGGGTTCTTTGGAAATGCAATTTGCCCTGCAGATACTTAACAACATGCAATAAATCACAACATCTGATACATTACTTTATTCACAGTTTATACAAACAAAGTTCTGATTTTAGCATAAAGCATCGGTGTTTATGTATCAACAATAATATTTGATAGTTGAATAAGGTTGGATGTGTGCACCAATAATAAGAGATAACAAAATTTGTAATAGTTGTGTATCCAATTCATAACAATGAACATAATACATTACTAATTAGTGTTTTGAATTATTTATCAAGTATCAAACACTAATATTTGATTTTTTATCAAATAAATAAAATAAATTAAAAAAATCGTTTTATTTTCCTCGGAAAACATTTACGTTTGTACCGAACACGCATACAACGGGCCGGGGAGGCCCGGGTTATATTGCCAACTTAAGAGAGCTGTCAATAAAAACCCAATAGTAATTCCATTTTTCTCCATCACAAACAGTTGCTGATTCTTAATTGCGGCGAGGTTACCAGTTCAGGTCCCGTTTCCGGCAACTTTTCCGGTTATTAAGCTGTTCCGCCGCTGAGCACACTGATTTAACTTCAGATTTACCCAATACAGAGGTATAATCGTATCTTTCTTCTATTTACTACTTTTGCATTTCTTTCTCTTATGCTTTCAAATTTCTTTGAAGAATTGATTTCTTTAATTTTGATCATTCAGAGTTTTGAATGAGATTACATCACTTGACTACTGTTTTAAGTAATTGTGAAGAAGTAATTAGTCTCAATTAGTTTTTTTTTGGTTTTCCGACCCATATTGGAGCTCCTGCTAAATTTGGATTGTGCTCTGCAGGGTCCGATACCATGGACTCGAATCCGAGACTTTGGTCAAGTATAAAATATTTCTACCACTACACTACAACTCATGTTGTTAGTCTGGTTTAGGTTACTCATACAATAGTTAGCCAAAATTATTTATCCTACTAAATGCTGAGATTTTTTTCTTCTTTTGGGTGTACAACTTTTTATGTCAGATTTCGTAAGATGAACGGAAGAATTGAATTTGAGCCTTACAGCCCGATAACATGGATTAGGTTGTGTAGGTGTGCCTAAATTGTGTGATTTGATGGTGAAAGTAACATGGATAGGCAAACGTTGCGTCAGTTGCCTAATACCTTATCCTTGATGAACAATCTTTTAATCATAATTTGTATCATCAAACTTGTTCTTAATCCCTTTTCTTTAAAAGAACATATTGTCACTTTCATTTTTAAATCTTTCAATCTTCAACATATAATAAGGTGTGTGACAGGTGATTGAAAGCTATGGCTTCCAAGGTATCCATCATTTCAAAATGGACGGTTAAAGCTGAGGGAAAAAGTCAGCACCATACAGATAATTGTAAGATTATTGAGTTGACACCATGGGACATTCTTGAGCTTCAAATTGACTACTTTCAAACTGGACTCCTCTTCCTCATGCCTACATTTGAACAAGTAAGAGATCTACTAAAAACAACCAACACCAGTTCCTTAATTGATCATCTTAGAGTTTCACTATCTCGAGCTTTAGAGCCTGTTTGGCTCAGCTTAAAAGCTGGTCAAACTGACTTAAAAGCTGGTTTTTGACTTATTTAAATGTTTGGCAATACTCAAAATAGCTTATTTTAAGTTAAAAAAACTTATTTTAAGCCAAAAGTGTGCTTTTTTTTTTAGCTTATAAGCTGTTTTAAGTTGACCATATTTTTATGTTTTTTCCCTTAATATTTTTATACAATCTCCAAATTACCCATATAACACTAACTTCTCTTTCTTCTATTTTTCCCTTTTCACGTTTGGCATAACAACTTCAGCACTTTTATCCAAACGCATAATTGCTTATTTTAAAAATAAGTTTCAGCACTTTCAAAAGTACTTTTTTAAAGCTGCTTTTATTAAGCTCATCCAAACGGTCCTTAGATTTCTTCCCTCCATTTTGTGGCCGCCTTGGCACAACCAAAAACGAGAAGAATGGCACCACTTCTTTCTTTATAAACTGTAACAATGATGGTGCTCAACTCAACCATGCAACCGCACATGGTATTAGAGTCAGTGACATTGTGGAGTCAGATTACAATCCTTACGTGGTACGCGATTTCTTCCCATTAAATGGAGTCCAAAATCTAGAGGCTACCTCCCAGCCCTGTTTTGCAGTGCAAGTAACAGAGCTTGAGGATGGTGTATTCGTTGGCTGCTCAAACAATCATGTGGTAGTCGACGGAACTTCTTTTTGGCATTTTTACAATTCTTGGACTGAGATATCTCGAGGTTTTAATGTCATCTCGAAAATTCCTTTTTTGAAACGTCAATTCCCTTTCAATATTAATCATTTCTCTGATCGCATTTCTATACCAAATGAAAGAGTAAATGCAGGTTATAGATTCATTCCTCCACCAATGCTACGAGAAAGGGTATTTCACTTTACCAAAGAAAGTGTAGCCAAGTTAAAAGCAAAGGCCAATCTTGTAATGAACACCACAAAAATTTCGTCTCTTCAAGCTGTATTGGCTCACGTTTGGAGATCCGTCATACGTTGTCGTCATCTTGATCTTAGTGAAGAAACTACCTTTGAGGTATCCATTGACATGAGGGGAAGATTGAATCCTCCTTTACCCGAAGGGTTCTTTGGAAATGCAATTTGCCCTGCTACCGTAACCATCAAGACAGGAGAGCTACTCGAGCACGAATTTGGATGGGCCGCTTTACAAATCAATGAGACGATTGCTCTCCATGATCAAGAAAAGTTGAAGTGCATATACGAGAGTTGGATGAATGACCCTGAGGTAGTAAAATTGGGCGATTTGCCAAGCAATTACTTTATGCTGATTTTTACAAGTATGATTTTGGATGGGGAAAACCGATTACCCATAGAAGTGGCATTGGAAACATGCTAGAGGGGAAAATAACAGTGTCACCTGGACAAGAAGAAGGGAGTATGATTCTTGAGATTTGCCGACTATAAAAGCATTGGAGGAAGATGTAATAATATTTGGGGAGTTAGTGACTACGCCACTTGTTGGTTTGGAACGTACGATTCGAGCTCGTATTTAAATGATTCTTATGGTACTTATTACTGTTAGATTCTGAAGCATAAATCATGAGAAAATATTACTATGTAGAAATATATTGCTGGCTTCTTCTATCTCAGGACAGAGTATCATTACAATCATATGTATATTGCAAAAGAATACATTGTGTCGAACTTTTCAGGTATACGAAATCTACTATTTTCGAATAAATAGCACGTTTTACTCTTTAAATGGATTTGTCTTGTCATTTAAAAATCAAATTATGCTTAATTTCTTTATTACATTGAAGTCAATTTCCGAGCATAATTTTGGATTAAAAAATTGAATTTGTATCCCATAAAAATATAAGTAATTTATCATACCACAAGCATAAATTAAAGACCAGCATATCATGGTCCAAGTACACTGATAATTGTTGTACCCTAAAACAAACAATAGTTCAACAATTGTTGATTTGTCTGGGTGGTGCTTGGTTTAGTTGTTTTCGAGATTTTACTTTTACATGTGCTTTCTTTCTGTATAAAATTGGGTGTTTTAACTTTTTATTTAACCAAATCTCGTCGTAGTTAATTTATTTTTGTCGTATACACACCTTAGTCCTTTTCAAATAATCGAGCCTTATATATCTCAATCACGCCATTAGCCTTGTGCTTAACTTTAAGAACCCGTTAGGTTCTAATAGTTTTGCTTTTAAAAGATCAACCAGTTCCCAAATTGACTATTCCAACATCCCATCAAGCACGCTATACGTCAAAATCAACGAGTAAATATCTTTAAAAAATTTATTTTTTATGAATCATATATTATTATGACTGAGAAGCTGCTAAAGTTAAATTATCATTTTGCTCTTATCTTACCTCTAAAATAAATTAATATTAATATCTATTTAATTATTTAAATATTAAGTAATAGTTATGTTTAAATTCATGCATCAAACAAGATCTTAGTGCATCATATATTCATGTACTAATTAAATGTGGGTAATGAAGAGTCTTATAACCTTTCAATTTTAATTTGTAAGATAACTGGAGGGTAATTAAAAGTCTATCAGACATTCACACCATATTATTTATATTCCTTTCTTTTATTCAAATTTGTAATCATCTTGCATTCTACGGTATGTTAGTCTACTTAAGTTGTAAAATTTTCATTACCAGTTTGTAATTATAAGAATTCTTACTATTTTATTTATTCGTATTCTTTAAAATTTCATGCATATTTTAATTTAGGGTTTAGGGTTTATCTTCTTTTGTCGAGAAATATGTAAATTATGATAGTTACAAGATGAATATACTCCAATATGAAGTTGTAAGTAAATTTTTATTTTCATATTTCCATCGTTTTGAGTTTTTAAATATAATTTTATAATTGATTACTGTATTTTTGTATTCATCCTTTCTTCTATCTTTAGGATATATATAGTAAAGTTAATCACATTTTGTGTTTATTATTAATTATTTTGAGGGTAAACATGTTAAATCCCATAAAATAATAATTATGTCTTCTTCATTGTTTGATAATCATTTATTTTTTTAAAACAACATATTTGTACTTTTTCCTTTTTATGTGTAATCTCAAATGTTTAAAAAATTATGTACTTAATTGTTATATAGAGGTACAAAATAAGTACAAAAGTAAAAAAATAATGGTATAGTAAAAAAATGACTAAATGATACATTGAATAATATTGTTTTAAAATATATATATATATATATATATATATATATATATATATATATATATATATATATATATATATATATTTCAAGAAATACAATGTTATTTTGTTTTTAACCATATTCATGCTTTCTTTTCTGTTTATCTTTTTATTATTATAATATGATTATATTTTTTTATACATATGATATGTTTTGTCTACCGTAAATCAACTTCTAACAAAATGTAAATCAGTTAGTATAAAAATATTTTTATCTATACATTTTAATGTGATGTCTTTTATTATCGATGTCATGTCTTTATTTACTTCTTTTTTCGTTTGAAATTGTAATTTTTTCTATAAATTTGATGATACACTGCCCAAACATTTTGTAATATTTTTCTTTATACGTATTTTTCTTTTTGTAGACAATTTTTTTTTAATTATTAAAACTTATGTTTGGTAATTAAAATATATCAATTCCTCTGATATAATAAAAAGTTCATTTTTCATGAAGTATTTAAAATATCAAACCTTCAACATCTAACACAAGATTTTCATGTTATATTTCGTGTAAAGTTATATTCTTATATTAAACTTACCTATGAAGGAACTTAAATTCAAACTTACCTATATAAATTAACTTTTCTAATATCAATTAGGAGACAAATGTGGAATGCACGTTTCATGAAATAGTTTTTCACATTATAAAGTTATGCAATCTTTTAACAGATTTTTCTTCTGTCCTTTTCCCTCTTTCATTATCTATCACGGTTCAATTCTTCTATTTTTTACTATTTTTTCTGCGTTTATTCCAAAAAGAATTATTCCCCTTTCACAAAAATTACAATTATGGATTAGTGGGTGGATGTAAGATATAATTTAATTTTATTTGCGGAGGCTTGTATGTATATATATGACATAAAATATTAATTTATGTTATCATGTAAAATTTTATAATAAACGTGGTAGATTAATTTTATAAGACAAAAATTTGAATGATTTTTATAGTTTAAAATGTCCTTGCACTGCCACAGTAACCATTGACCAATTTACTGTCAACTTACCACCAAAATTAAAATTTGAAAATCAAAATCATTAGAGCTATGATGGATGGATGGATCAAAATTTAAACGTGATCTGTTTGTGTAACAAAACATGATCTGTTTGTGTAATAGTTTTAGGGTTGACTTTCAATAGTATAATTTGAATTTTAAAATAGCACCACCGATCCCACACTTGTAAAGTAAGAAAAAATAATTGTAAACTGCATAATTTAAAAGTTTATATGCATGAATATGTTATGATATATACCGAGACAGGTGAACCAAATGTATTATTTAAGAGATATAATATTAACACGTTATTAACATTAAGATCCATTTTCTTGATACGCACAATCAATGAAATACTTAACCAACTAATTAATTAGTTTTAAATAATATTAATATCTCAAAATGTTACTCAACTTTATTTTGTATCAATTTGAGTACTGATAAGTTTATATATTGGAGATGATGATTTCTATATTAAATTAGTAGATAAATTTTAATGAGTTTTAACTGAAACGTTTTGGAACTAAAACTTTGATTCCAATCAGAGCTACAATGGGAGACCTCAAATAGACGACGTCAGAGCTCTGTTTAGGCCATTAGCGTGTCATTTTCAGATTTATTTTAATGATAAAATAAATAAATTTAGTGAATTTTGATTTTATATTTATACATATGTCCAAGTGCATGTCCGTGAAGTTTATATGTCATTTTCAGATTTATTTTAATGATAAATTTAGTGAATTTGAATTTATTTATACATATGTCTAAGTGCATGTCAAATGAAGTAGGTGAATTTGAATTTATTTATACATATGTCTAAGTGCATGTCAAATGAAGTAGGTGAAAAAAATTTAAGTTTTTTCAAAAAGTTTTATCTTTTTCAAACTAATTAATTGAGAAGTGGATGACGTAAAACTTTAAGATTTTAAAGAATATTTACATTTTTAAAAATAATTAATTGAGGTATAATGAGTAAATTCTTTTTATTCTTTTTCGATTTGTCAAAATGAACAAGTAGAAAGAGATTAGAAAAAGAAAGAAAAAAAACAATAATTAATAATAGAGGAAGTATTTACATTAGTTATACACGCTATTATATATTGGACACAGTGAATTATTAGTATCATGAATTTTTATGTACTAGTGATGAAAAAGAATTTTATAGATGCATTAGTAATTACCCCTCAAAATTTCTTTTACATCTTGTTCATCATAATTATTGAGGATATTTTTGTAAATGAATATTTGTGTATAATATATACTAATTTTAATATATCAAACCAAATAAAGCATTATAAATAATTTATGTATAATTAATACAAATATTAAGGAGTAATATTGTTATACACTCAATCAATTGATCGATTAGATTATTGAACTGGCGTTGCTGGATCAAATTATTATAATTTGAGCGATGTCAAATTAGATTTTAGGCCTAACTTACACCCCAAAGCTAGCTCAAAAGGAGGAGGATTATCCAATCTTTATAAAGAGTCCACATTTCATTAACCACTAATATGAGATTTTTATCATTTTTTAACAGACTACTATTTAACTATCCGTTTGGCACATTATTGATTATTGCATTTTACAAAATAAATACATTATTGTAATTACAATATCTCAATCAAATAAGTCAACATTAATATTTCTCAAGGTAATAAGTCAACAACTAACCTTGATATATTTATTAAAAAACTATAAATAGAAGGATAATTTTATTATATTAATCTTTAAGTATATAGAATATAATATCTTGAAAAATATAATAATTAATGATAAGAATAAATTAGAAACTAACTGTAAAATTATTTATGAATGTTTTAATATAAACAAATATTATTGAATATTTATTTTTAGTATAGTGGACAAATATATTAAATATTTTTGACACCATGAGAGCTTTAGTAATAAACTAGGTAAATACCTTGTTGCTCACTAAATTTGAAGATCCAAGGTATGGCCTCCAAGGTATCCATCATTTCAACATGCACAGTTAAATCTTGTGGAAGAAGTCAGCACCATCCAGATAATTGTGAGATTATTGAGTTGACACCATGGGACATTTATGAGCTTCAAATTGAATACTTTCAAAATGGTCTCCTCTTCCTCATGCCTACATTTGAACAAGTAAGAGATGTATCAAAATCAACAAATACTACTTCATTAATTGATCATCTTAGAGTATCACTATCTCGAACTTTAGATTTCTTCCCTCCATTCTGCGGCCGCCTTGAGGCAGCCCAAGCCCAAGAAGAGAAGAGTGGAACCACTGGTTTCTTCGTCAACTGTAACAACGTCGGTGTGCAATTCAACCATGCGATAGCTGATGGTGTTACAGTAGGCGACATAATGGAATCAAATTTGGTTCCTCATGTGGTACACGATTTCTTCCCACTAAGTGGAGTCCAAAACACAGAGGCTACTTCCCAACCATTTTTAGCTGTGCAAGTAACAGAGCTTGTGGATGGCGTTTTCATTGGCTGCTCAGCCAATCACGCATTGGTTGATGGATCATCCTATTGGCATTTTTACAATTCTTGGGCTGAGATATCTCGGGGTTGTAATGTCATCTCAAAAATTCCTTATTTAAAACGTAAATTTCCTTTCAAAATGGACCATTTCTCTGATCGCATTTATATACCCAATGAAAGAATCAACGCAGGTGATAAATTCACTCCACCAGCGCTGCGAGAAAAGGCATTTCACTTTAGCAGAGAAAATGTGTCCAAGCTAAAAGCAAAGGCCAATCATCAAATGAACACTACAAAGATTTCTTCACTTCAAGCTGTATTGGCTCACCTTTGGCAATCGGTGATACGCTGTCGTCGTCTTGATCACAGCGAAGAAACTACTTTTGAGGTATCCATTGACATGAGGAAAAGACTGAATCCTCCATTACCTGAAGGGTTCTTTGGGAATGCAATTTACCCTGCACCCACAACTATCAAGACGGGAGAGCTGCTCAAGCACGGATTTGGATGGGCTGCTTTACAAATTAATAAGACGATTGCCACCCATGATCATGAAAAGTTGAAGTGCATATACGAGAATTGGATGAAGGAACCTGAGGTACCAAAATTGGGGGATTTGCCAAGCAATTACTTTATGCTGAACGGCTCTCCGCAATTCAATGTTTATAAGTATGATTTTGGTTGGGGAAAGCCGATTGCACATAGAGGTGGGGTGGGGAACCTGTTAGATGGGAAGATAACAGTGGCACCTGGGCTAGAAGAAGGGAGCATGATTGTTGAAATTTGCCTTTCTTCAGAGACGATACAAGCATTGGAGGAAGACATAATATTTGGGGAGTTTGTCAACAACACTACACCAATGGTTGGTGTGGAACGAACAATTCGATCTCGTATTTAACTCTTTTTTAATGGTAGTTCTTGTTAGATTGCAGTTGTGTGTAAGCTTTTTTATCAGTAGAATAATGCACCATAGAGGTGTTTACTTGTGTCTCAGGGATGCTGCTTGTATTTGAGAACCTTTTTCTTTTTCTTTTTTGAGAATTGAGAAGCAAAGTTAGTACTATCTTTTGAGGGCAAAAACTAAAACAACCAACACCAGTTCACTATCTCGAGCTTTAGCTTTTTTCCCTCCATTCCGTGGCCGCCTTACACAACCAAAGACGACACCACTTCTTTCTTCATAAACTGTAATAATTATCACGGTTCTCAACTCAACCATGCAATGCAGTTCCGCACATGGTATTAGAGTCAGTGACATTGTGCAGATCCTTATGTGCCACTCAATGGAATCTAAAATCAAGAGGCTATCTCCCAACCTTGTTTTGCAGTGGAAGTAACAGAGCTAGAAGATGTCTAGTGAAACAAAATTTCTTTATTAATATTAAATTAAAGTCCGAGCATATTTTATTGGATAAATGTGATGCGAAAAATATGTTTATATCATAAGCAAGCATAAATTGAAGACCAACATATCACGGTCCAAGTACAATGATAATTGTTGTACCCTAAACATCAATTGTTTGGATGGTGCTTGGTTAAGTTGTTTTTGGTTTTTATATGTGCTTTTTTACTACATTAAATTGCGTGTTTTAGCCTCCTATTTAATCGAGTCGATATTATTTTTGTTATATATACTCCTTAACAACTAGTCTAGCCTTATATATCTCAACCATGCCATTAGCCTTGTGCTTAACTTCAAGAACACATTTGATTAGTTTTTGAAAAATTAACATCCCACACACATTTAAGAGGATAAATAGCAAGTTGTTAATCATACTCTTTAAAAATAAATTACTTACAGCATATTATTATCATCTTACAGCACATCAATTAATAATATATTAATTACAAAATATATATTTAAAAATAAACTATTTATAGCATATTATTATCAAGTTATAGCATATTAACTAATAATCTATTAATAAAAAAATATTTTATTATTTAACTAATAATTGTTATATTTAAATAATTAATTTTATTTATTCACTTACCTTTTATCAACAAAACCTTTTAAATTATTACTGATTAAACAATTACTTTTTAATATTTTTAATAGAAATAATAATTTATTATTTATTAAATATTAATTAAACTTCATAGTATATAGTTAACTTTTAAAAAATAAAATCTAAAAATTAGGGATTTGATTTTAATTAATTTCATATTATATGGTTACCCAATAACTAGTCATCCCATATCAACCAATACTCTTTTATCTTCTCCCAATACACTCAACCTCTCCCCATTTATTAATGATTAAAAATTTTGAAAACATTTATTAAGTTGCTTTTGACGGTGCATTTATTGAATGTTGCATGCCTGAGAATTTGAAGAGTTAATCTTTTTATTGAGTTAAATTAAAGCTAGATAAATTATTAGCAATACAATTATTCTTCATTTCAAAATTTCTCTATTATTTTGAAATTTCTTTCAACATATAATTAATTTCCCCCCAAGAATTCAAGATTATTTTCATAGCTGCATATTTCAATTCTGATGGATAACTTTGTGTAAATTTTAATTAAACATTGTGAAAAGTGGATTTTTTCAGGTTAGTTTTTAGTTATGATTTGTTTCTTTTAATTATGAGTTGTTGGTTTTATTTAGATTTTTCGTTTTTTACATTTAAAACATCGTTAAATTTTTTGTTAACGGCATTATCTGTAATACAGTTTGTAAATTTTTTTTTTTTGAAAGAAACAGTATGCTCTGTATAGCGTACATGAAGTCTGAAATTTATTTTTTTAGTGAATGAAATGTGTATGAAACATGTATCATTTGTGTATGAATTTTTTTTAATAGTACAAAATTTTGTTTTTCCATAATCCAGTGCTATAGACACTCTCTCTATATTGAATTTCTCATCTGACTAGATGAAACATATTCAATTGAAATATTATTTGACTGCATTTACATGCTCATTTGAAAGTTTGATAGATCATTTGGCTAAAGCATTGTGTGATTGAATTGTAGGTTAAAATCCTACCTGCCAAATATGTTATGAAGACGGACGATGATACTTTTGTAAGGATATCTAGTCTCAAGGGAAAGGATCCTAATGGTCTATTAGATGGTGGGATATCTTTTGAATGGTCTATAATGTATCAATGTTACAATTATTTATGTATGAATTTTGTTTGAAATAGATTGTAACTTTATATAAACTAACTAAACAATGCATGTATCATAATAGTTTATGATTGGCAGTATAGTTTAATGTATATTTTTAATGTATAAATATTGTATGAATTATGAATGGCATATTGATTTTGATATATGTAACAGAAATCAATGATATATATATAAACATTGTATGAATATTGCATGAACATTGTATGAATAACATATACAACACTTTATGAATGGCAGGACAATACAGTTTATATTTATAATGAATAAACATTGTTTGAATTATGAATGACATACTGAACTTTGACATATGCAATGAAAACAAATGATATATATGAACATTGTATGAATACAACCTGAAGATTATATGAATGGCAGTATAGCTCAATTTATATTTATTATGTATAAATATTGTATGAATTATGAATGTCATATTGTACTTTGACATATGTAACATAAACAAATGATATATATATGAAAATTGAATGAAAACTGTATGAAACATTATATGAATACCATAAATGTCAGTGATAACTACTGCACTCAATAAAACAAAATGTGTTTATAACATTCAAATCAACATAATAACAAATTTAACATTACGAAATCATTGTTTTTGCACAGGATAATTTGAACATGTCTTTCTATTGTGTCCAACCTGGCGGCATCTACTGCAAGTCATTTTCGTCCTTTTGAATTTCACGTCAGCAAACACCATCCATGATTGTTCACTTGTCAAAAATGATTTTGCAAAACCATCGTTAAAAAATAATGGCATGAATGAGCCTTTTCTTTAACGGTAAAGGCATAAATGAGTCAAACTTTTAACTGATTGCGTAAATAAGCCTTTTCTGAAAGTTCAATGGCATATTTGAGCATTTTCCTTTATTTTTAATACGTTGAAGGTGACATCTTTTGAGGAATAATAGTAATCATTACGCGTATTGAAGCTTGAAAAAGTAGCAAGTATAATCATTATACGTGTTAAAACTGAGGTGTATAGTAAATATAATCATTACACGTGTTGAAACTGAAAAAAAAATTACATTAGGTTTATGCCATAAACAACAATAGATATGATTTTCTAGTGAAAATAAGCCAGTTGTAAACTTTTTTTTAATAATTTCTCTTACATTTCTTTCTAAAGTCGTGATTCATAATCATGAATATTAATATGTTGTCGAGTCACAACCACTTAATGTAGCACATCTTGATCCCGTTAAACTGAAAACAAACGGCAAGCAACAGAAATATGAGGTGAATATAGTTGAAAAAGGCTTATGTATGATCTAGTAAGAAATCTAATTAATACATTCTGTTTAATTGAATTGTACCTCTTATATAACAAAAGATGTTCATTTTGATCATTTACTCTAAACTAATGAATGTATTTTTAAAATATATTAACTTGGATTGTACGTAGCTAACAAAATTTACATGTTCAGTGTTGTCTTTTTGATGAGTTTCAAAGAAAAAAGAAACTTCATAAAATTTTACACCATTTTCTCTACTTTCTCCAACAAAATTTACTATTTTCTCTTTTAATATAATTTTCTCTAATAAGTATATACCATTTATGTTTTAAATTTTAAGTTCTCTCTTTTGATTCAATTTTTAAATTTAAATGATCTTTGCATTGCAAGGCTATAATTTGCAATTACAAGAAACTTTTGGACCTTTTCCCAAATTCAATTTTGCAAAACTATACCTAGTGTTTTTGCCGATTGCAAACGTCGCCGTTAGAACATCGGCCGTCGTTGCTCCAGTTAGGGCAAGAAAAAGTGAAGTGAAGGTTCAATGGCGTTGAAATCAGTATTCGATTCTTCAGTGATTAGGGCAGAATTCGACAAAGCCGGAATCAACAATCGCTTCATCCCTCTTATTTGGAAGTTAGTTTCCACTCGTTCTAGTTTCTTTAGATGATGAAAAAGTTTTTTTTTCTGCTCATAATTGTTGTGTGTATATGCATGAATAGGTATGTAATACAGAATCCAGATTGCAATTGGGAAGATATTCCATCTTTGCCCTCGTCAGCTTACACTTTGCTTCGTGCCAAGTTCAAAGCTTCAACTTCTGTTGTCCACTCTGTCTTCGAGTCAAACGACGGGGTTACCACCAAGCTCCTCATCAAGCTTCAGGTTAAATTCATACTCAAATCCGTTACAAATTGCTATTTAACAGGAGTGGCGGTGTGTTAGATTTTGATTGTTTCCCAAATTTTGGAATTTGTGTTATTGTGCTAATAGGAGGTTTGAGGTGTCGGTGTCCCCTTTTTATGTGCTTTAAATGTTTCTGATATACATATTAAGAAAAAAGGTGGTGCTTTATAGTATCTCTACCTGAACTTGTTGGTTTACAATCATATCTCATTGACGATTTTAAATTCTAGAATGGAGCATTTGTGGAGTCTGTGATTATGAGATATGACTCCAGCTTGGGGAAATTAAATGGAAAGCCTCGTCCTGGAGGACCAAGATCAACCTTGTGTGTATCCTCTCAGGTATGTCATTTTATTAACTTATATCTAGAAATGGCTGAGTTGCTTGTATATTAGCTGCAAACTGTTTTATCCTTTCGGCAACAGCAACAACATACCCTGCGTAATCCTTCCAATTATCCCTATGGCATGCCTAAGTATTTGATGTTCTGATCTGAAAGACGTTTTATGTTGACCAGACACTCTTTTCTTTAAGGTTGGATGCAAAATGGGCTGTACATTCTGTGCTACCGGAACCATGGGGTTCAAAAATAACCTGTCTTCTGGAGAGATAGTTGAACAGTTGGTGCATGCCTCTCATTTATCAACCATCCGTAATATTGTTTTCATGGTATCGTTTTTTCCTTTGTACAATTTTACTTTTCTCCATGGTATTTTATGTCTAGTTAGTGGTGGATCTGGATTTTGAAGGCACCTGGTTCTATGTTCTTTAGGCCTTTCATTGTTTAACTTTTTAATCAGTTGACTTATGAGCTCCAAAAAAGCTCCCAAACTTGTTATAATTTGTCAAGGTTCTTAAACTTGTCTGTGTAATTTCCCAAATTACTGAAGTACAAGTTTCTTCCTCCATCTCGATAAAAATTGATCAACTTTTTGCTACAGCAAGTTTAAGAGTAAATGCTTGTGTAGATTATTCTATGGACTAAGAAAAGTGAATAAACTAACTATTGAAATGTGACTAGTGCAGTTGAAATAATCTCGCATTAAATTTGTACCAGCAAAAGTAGTAGTATTGATCAATATGTGGATTGACAGAGGTGAAAAGCTTTCTCCTGAAAGTAGGTTAGGATTTATTGGATGGACGAAAAAGGAAGAGGTAAAGTTTCTTGGTAGAATGGTGTAAGCTGGTATATAATACATCAAAGTTGCAAATTCACTAATGAAGTTTGGGAGAATCTGTTGGAGAGAAAAGAGATGTGAAGTATCAAACCTTCAAGAAGGAAACTGAGGATATAACTATAGTTCTTCCAGTCCTTGTAGAAGGATTTTCTGATTTGAATTCATCTATCAGAGTAATTAAGAATTTTTGGATGCATTCTTCTTATCTACTTTATAATTTCATTTTTAAGTATTTTTTTCTTTTCTTTTGGTTTGTTTCCATCCGCTCATTCTTGAGTGTTCATTTTTGTTGCATTATCATCCAACTGATGCACAGGGAATGGGAGAACCGTTGAACAACTACTCTTCCCTGGTGGATGCCATACGAGTGATGACAGCATCTCCATTTCAGATCTCTCCTAGAAAAATTACAGTCTCAACGGTATGAGCGACCTATTGATGTCTATTTCTTTCATATTACAATATGCTATATGGTTGCTCACCTTGACTTCTTGATGCACACTCATTTTTATGTACTTGTGGTTTTTTATGTAATAAATTTTTTCATATCAGGAGTCTACTTTCTCATAATTAGCTCTTTCATTGCATGCTTTTATTATATAGATCATATGAACAGTAAATAACCGGTTAAAAATGTTTTGTAGGTTGGAATAATTCATGCCATTAACAAGCTCCACAATGACATCCCAAATTTGAACTTGGCAGTCTCTTTGCATGCACCGGTGCAAGATATCCGTTGTCAGATAATGCCTGCAGCAAGAGCTTTTCCTTTGGAAAAACTCATGAATGCACTGCAAGAATATCAAAAGAAAAGGTGTTGCCATTGCCCTGTTATACTTATATAGCATTCACTGTCTTTTTCCCATTTTAAATTGTGCCATTTGACTTGCATGGAGATTAAGATATTAACTTGTGTATTATATAATAAGTGGTCGTAGCAACTATATAGTTTTGAACTCACATAGATGGCATCAGTGTTTTAAGTCGATAATCAAGGTTTAAGTTTATTTAAGGCTCATCAGATAGGGATTTTAACCCTATGTATTTCAAATTTCATAAGCTTAATTTTTGTCCATTTATTTATATTAGAGTAAATTTGGACTTCAAACTTTATTCAGATTGCAGTAATGACAAGTTCATTGGAAAATTAAAATTTTGGCAGCTCATTGTAAAGCCATGTCTTTAAATGGGGCCCTAATTATATCGAGTTATTAAAACTTTTGAAAGTTCAATAAATTTAAGTATAAATAGAATGCTATTATACATTTTTGAACAGTTATAAGATGGAAAGAGTGGAATAAGTTGAGGCACATAAATTAATTTAATGTCCATGATGACCAATTTGGTATAAGTTGCTGAAAGATCTTATTTTTCCCTTATTTGTAGCCAGCAAAAGATCTTTATAGAATATATTATGCTTGATGGACTAAATGATGAGGAGCAACACGCCCATCAGCTTGGGAAACTGCTAGAAGCATTTCAAGTGGTGAGTTTTAAGCAGTTCATGTAAATCCCACCCTAAAAATGTGGGCTGTGAGTACATATGCGAGTTAATTTCTTCTTAACACATTTAGGTTGCATCCCTGGATGTTTCCAAACTAAAAAACATTTACTTGGAGGGAAAAGATAAAAACGAGGAGAAAGAGAGAGAGAGAGAGAGAATCTATGTCGATCAGCCATCAGACAGTGGGGGTCTTACGACCTATATCTAAACAGTTCATTTCATCTTTTACTCACAGAGAATTTTTCAAGTGTGTTTTGCATTTACATCAAAATATTGTTTTTCTTTCACAGGTTGTGAATCTCATACCTTTTAATCCAATTGGATCATTAAGTCAATTCATTACCAGTACAAATCAGAAAGTCGCCAGGTTTCAGAAAATATTAAGGGACATCTATGATATTCGCACAACTGTTCGCAAGGAGATGGGCCAAGATATAAGTGGTGCCTGTGGTCAATTGGTGGTTAATCTTCCAGATAAACGCTCTATCAGCAATGCAGCTCCTCTAACAGACATCGAGGATATTCGTAGGCAGTAGAGTTATAGGTATGTTCTAGGTTCTTAAATTAGATCAAATTTTCAATCAAGCCCCCCCACTTGATCAGGCTTTAGTACATTTGCAAGTGATAATAGTTTGCAGAAATTTGAACCAAATTCAGCTATTAAAGAAGTCTATTCCTCTTGTTATCTTGAACAGTATTATTTAAAGAAGACACAATAGGGAAACCCCTGTACAATATTGATGCATACAGAATGTAACGGTGACCAAAGTTTTTCTGCAGAATTCTATGTTAAAAGGAGAGACGATTAGCAGCTCTATCTACAGGATCTATATTGCTTTCAGTCTCTGCATTAAGTTGCTGTTAGTCCCTGCCAATCTGTGGTTGTGGTTGAACTAAGTTGGATCTCACTTTTCAGAAGGCTTTTGTGGAAAGGTCTTAATGGAGGAGTGAATGATGCATCACAAGCTCAAGGGAGATATATGACGAGCTACCTTTCTAATATATATATTTTTTCCTTTTCTCAAATTAGGAATGTAATTTTTTAAAATTAGAAATCGCACTTCAAAGGCATGGACGTGTACAAGAAATTGCTTAAGGAGATGTGTGTTCAGAAAATATTGTGCACAATCATGAAATTGGAAGACATCATAAGCTAGGCTACTGATGTTGGTCTGCATCTATGATTTTAGATGTATGCAATTTTAAATCACCACAACTCACAAGCATAAATTTTCAGTTTAAGTTCTGGAGGAATCTTGGTTCATAATGTCAAATACTAACCACTGAATTCAATAGTTCACACAGAAATCATGCTGGAGAATGCATGGACAAGTAATGGGAGAATATAATGAGACCCCAAAGATATGAAACATTTCCCCATGTCATTTAGGCATGAACGGAAAGTTGAGTACAAAGATGATGATGTTGCATGCAATTTTGCATCGGACATCGTTACGAAAGATGAATTCAACAATTCCAGAAGAACCCGAAAATGAGGGACGAGTCCATGCTGTAGTCAAACCTTGGTGCCCATTACTAATACACTAAATGTTCACAGAGCACACAACTAACTAACCCAGCATTTTTGAGAAGCTTTCTGCAAGTCCACAACTAAAATCACATTGCCAGGGGTACCCCCAAAACACAAATCCAAACAACAGATACAAAATAGCATTGCCTAAAATCAAAATTGAGAGGATTGTACAGCAATACTTCGATCATCAGTAATAACCCCCCCTTACCTTTTTCGACAAACAAAGAAACAGGAACTACCACTTCACTTAACTGCAAGACCTATGAAGACAATAGTGCTTCGATTTTTGCTATTTGATCTTCTTCATTTTTCGGAGTTGGATTCTTGTTTGCCTCATCATAAAGATCGTGTTTCCACTTTTCAACCACCTTACTTGGATTAGGTCCTTGCCTTGAACTGAATCTGTCTCTCCCCCTGTGATCACTATTGCCATGGTACCTGTCTCTTGATGGAAATTTGCCCCTCCATGTTTGACCCCTGTTTGCATACCTCTCACCAGTAAATGGTCTCTCATATCTACTAGGATGGCGTGACATGTGGTCAGTTCTTTCATTCTTTCTTCCGCCATCTACTTCAGGGTGAGAAGGATTAGGCTTAACAAGCTCCGTCACAGCTTTCTCAAGTTTTTCAGTATCCACTGGAATCTTTTCCTCCCTAAATGACCTTTTCTTCACAGGTGGTTTAGGATTTTCCTTTACTTCAAAGTACCTGTCATGGCGCCAAACATCATTTTGCCTGCCTGAAACTTTGCTCTTCTCGTCATTCATCTGCTTATCATTTGTTGTGGCTCTGTTCGATGTCTCTTTCGCATCTTTCCACCATCCTCGCTCTTCAGGGGGAAACAAAAGATAGTAACTAAATCTTGAACACTAAATACACAGGTCATAATATGCAGGTAGGAAATACTGTTTTCTTCTCTAGATATGTTTCGCTGACTTAGGTCTCAAGCATTTTCTACTTCTCAAAACTTAAGAGCATCATATGTTATACATAGTAGAATAAGTATCTAACATACTTGCACCGAAAAGTGTAGTCTAACGACCAATGAAGTTGATGCGAGCATTGGAGACTGGGGTTTGAGTCCTCTTACTTGAGGAATTACATGGTACCTATGCTGGCCCGGTGTAATAGTTGAGGTGCACACAAGTTGGCCCATATACCAGCATTAGCAAGGAAAAAAGCTAGATAATGTACTAATAACAAGTTGGCCTAGGCACCAAGCAAATAAAAGGAGGGTTCTCTCATTACAGACAGATTCTGATCACAGGTAAGTCAAGTTAGACGTCACACATTGGTCTGATGCTTGCTTTTGCTACTCAGGAAAGAAAAATGGCAGGTTCTCATCAAAATGCAAGAATAATATGTGGAAACTCACCAGTTGCTGCCTTATGCCTGAAGCTTCTATCAACTTGCCCAGCACTACCACGCTCATCGTGCTGTTATAAGATATGCACAGGCAAGTCTAACATGGTTATATACATGGATCTACTTGGAAGTCAACGGGCTGAACAAGAATCCCACAACATCAGCCACAATATAAGAAAAAAGAGTACATTAACTTAAATCAATGCACTTGTTCGTGGAAAATCTATTCTCGTCTACTGAAATTCAAAAATCTGAAATTTATTTATTCATTTTCTGACAATTAGAACCTAAAATTTATTCAAATAAAAAAAAATTCATTTGTTCTCTTGCTAAGTTGAATTCCATTCTCATCCCTCCCCACTAATTAACAGTAATGTTATCCTAATTGTGCACATGAATGAATAAAGGAACTATCATCAAGTATATTCGCATGCTTCAATAAAGTAGAAACAAACTCCTCCAAAGAGCCAGGTCACCAAAATTTTATCACAACAGTAATCAAAGGCATAATCTAACACAAACTGACACAAGAAGCAAATGAAGTTAGTGTACACAACACGGAAACCTGAAAAAATGAGGTAGAATGAGGTATTACTGATGGATTTGTAGAGTGTTTGGATGATCGATGGCGAGAACCTTCATTGAGATCAGAAGACTCTTTGATCCCATCATCTTTAACTGCTACATTCTCAGATGGTTTCCTTGGAGTTCTTTCTGACTTCGAATCTTGCACTGACGGAGCATCAAGAGGCACATCATCTTGCAGACGGCGATGGTGTTTTAAATCCCGTTCTGAATTGTTTTCACTATCTAAATTGTGTGTGGTAGGTGGTCTCTCAGTTTCTTGTCTACTTTGTCTCCTTGATCTCTTTGGACTAGAAAGAACAAACATGATACAGAATATTAGCACACGATTTGTATACGCAAAATCCACATCATTTACAAATTGAGTAATTCCAAATGAAGCAAAAGGTGTGCAATAAACAGAATTCCAATTTCACAAGACACAATTTACTGTTTCCAGTTGTGAAGCGGTTGAAGACACAACTCTTTAACTCTCAAAAGCAAAAATGGTTTCTTCTGTTACTCCAGTACTTTTTAATATAACAACCCGTTCATTTATGTCGAAAAAGCTTAAAATCTCGAAGACCAAATGGTTCTTTCATTCTCACCCCACTATTTTTCCTCCTCTCAGCAGTACTCGTATAAATTCAGTCCTACAGAAACCCCAAATTCACGTAACCAATTTTCATTTTAACGCCGATACAGAAAAGAAAAACAGAAAAACTTCACAGACCCGAGAAATCCTAAAAGTTCAAGATTACAAAGTCCCGCCAACTGTTCCTTTTTCCTCGGCTCTTCAAATAATGAATTTTAATCGAACCCTAAATCATTCGAAAGCTATTAAAAAATTCCCAATTATTTCAAGAAAATATAATCGATTACCTGGGTTCTTGATCGAACCGGGAACGGTGACGTTTCGAGTCGGAATCGCGACCCTCTCGACGAGACGACATTAGGGTAAATCGGAGAAGATAACTTGGCTAAAGGTGGGACTCATAAATGGTGATGACGGTATGTAAACCAGATATTCGGGTCGAGGATACAGTATGGGCCCAATATTAGTGGGCCTTAAGACTTGTGCGAAATAGGCTCTTTCAATGTCACCATTCAAGTTTTAACCTCTTTAAGAAAAAATATTTGCAAAAATAACCTTCTGGCCTCCATGAGGTACGTAAAATTTTAACGATGGACACAACTTGTTTTGGCATCAAGAATCGATAAAATTCCCAGATTAATTTGACTAATCGCCAGATCTTTGTCATAAATCTAGACGAAAATCAAATTGATGGACGAAACCAGGAATTTATGGCCAAATTTTGATGAATTATTATTGTTTTGATTGTAAATAAATCACCAGAAATGAAAATCCTAATCAATCTTGTATATAAATTTCACCAACACGTTTTTTGCTTCAAAATTAGTCCATAGAATAACTCCACATTTGACACATGTTCCTCTAATATTATCCCAACAATTTACAATAGTTAGATTTAACATAAACCTTCAAACATCAACACTCATTTTGTCTTTTTCAATAAGTTTTTTAAAAGTTTAACAGACACAATAATGGTGATAAGCAATGAATCTTTAATTTTCTACATTACATATTTCAGTGCTTTCTAATTGTAATTATGTGCCCATAATTTTGATTTATTTAAAGATGAATAAGGGCTAAAAAATTTCTAGCGTGCGTCTAAAATTATTAATGTTTGTTAACAAGGCCAAAAGTTAAACAGTATTACAAGAGGTTACTGAAAATAAATTTCACTATTTTAAGGCATGCTAGATGGCTTAATGTTTTTTAAAACTATGAGATAAAGATAGTTATAATTAATTGTCATATACAAAATCAGACAAGCAACTTGATATAACATACTTAGAACGTGAAATAATTCTTTATATGGTTGAAAATAAATCTGATATAAAATAATGGTAGATGAACTTAAAGTATGTACTTGTTTACGAAGATGTTCTTTGAAAACCAAACTCGAAATTAATTATTTCAAAAACTATTTCCAAAATAAAATTCAAACACCATTTTGGTTCATTAACTAAGGAGAGTAGGAAGGGAAAAAAAATAATAATCAGTCCATATATGATATCAAACATATACTTAAAGTATATTTAGTGTACGTAGCCAAACAACAGAGTTAAAGTCGAGGTCGTTGAAGGATTGAAGTAAAATCAACTCTTTGGTTTAAATCTGGTGCACCACTTTACAAGAAGATGTTCAATGTCTGCATCCATTCGAGTTCCTACGCCTCCCCAGACTAACATGTGACCAACATCTCCAAGTGATTCACCACTAACTTGGTGAACTGTCTTGAAGCCAATCCTTGTGTAGAATTTCACAAGCTGTTACAATCAAAGAGAAATATCCAATTTGTAATCAGAATCCACTCTTCTACTCGAATTAGAAAGTAAAAATCAGTAGGTGTGAATGCTTGCAGTAGAAAAGCCTATTGTCTAGTGATAAGAGTGCACATGTTACATATTTGAACTGTGTCTCAGACGAAAGGCTTTGGTAGCAAAGTGAAAAAAAGGGGAATTAACTCCCATCCTCCTCTTGTTGACATAATGGAGCCGGAGTTCCAATTAACAACAAGAGAAATTGCAATCCAAAAACAGGGCATGATAATTAACCCAGAAGGAGGGAAAATTGAAGAATAACCTTGGTGTGGTAAAGCTCAGTATCATAAATGGCGAGCAATTCAGCTTTTTTACAACCAGAGTCATAACCATGCCTAATTGCG